CAAAGGACTCTATCATGATTCATACATGGGGAGACTGCAGTCGTTGGGTCTATACTTTGCTCAGTATCGTCGGATTCGAGGAGATTTGCTTTTGGCGTACCAAATATCACACAGCCCAAACCATCCTTGTCGCCGACTTCTGACGTTGTTATCAAATGTTCATCTACGGGGACATCCATTCAAGTTGGTGCTCCGAAAATCTCGAGTGGACTACCGACGTCATTCCTTTGCCGTCAGAGTGTGCACTACCTGGAATTCCTTATCATCTCATTTTGCATGTGCCGAGACGATTGTTTCTTTCAAGGTAAAACTTGACGAATCATTAACAAACATTGCATTCCAACATCCATGAGAACACAGAACACAACCAAATGCAGCATATTGATTTTTTTTCATCACGGTAACAGTTCAATTCGTGTTAACACCCTATGGGACAAGAAAAGCATCTGCTTGTAGGTAATACCCATAATAAAAACTTTGACTTTGCCTTTGACCTTGTCTTCTTTCGTTTCTACCGTGAAAATAGTTGGAGAAGGTGTCTGGACAAACAGAAATCCACTATTCCGTAGTTAGATCCTATGTGAGCTGGTGGACTCGGTATAGGGGGCGGGGGGGGGGGCTGGGTGTTGGTAGACGAAAGCCATCCTAGTGAAAGATCCAATATTCAAATCCTAGATATCATTAAGTTTAATGAGCGGAAAAACATGGAGACCAGATGAATCGAGAACTATGCACGAACTCGAAGGATAACCAATCTAAATATTGAATTAATCAATTAAATACACACAATATAGTCATGTGAATAGGCGATCTTTTTCATCCCTAGGCTCGGGAAAGTTTGAGAGTTTGGATTAGTTTTTGTTGTACGCACAGCTCACGCATCATGAATCGGGTGCTAATCGCCCGGTGCGGTTGCTAACATCCGGAAATGTATTGCTCTCGAGCGGTGTGGGGTGTGATCCCATGAATAACTTTAAATGCCGAGCCCAAGTCAACCAAGTGTCCTTATCGAGGTTGATACAGCTCCACTCTCATCCTATTCGAACCAGCGTGGATTGTGTCCTTTGGGCCATGGACATAACTACCTTGTCGTTCGACCTATATCAATCGTACCACAGGTTCACTTGAAAGATTCTGATAAATGAGGTCAACATAGGTGGGTAATTTTTGCTGTTGTTCCGTGATGTACAGAACACACATCTTAGCTAAGCAGCATTAAGGATGGATTTCACTGCGACCGATAAAACTTTCCCAGCCATATCTGCCGTGAAATTATCTTTGATGGAATTTTTTCAAAAAGCATGTTCTTCTCCGCTTTTGGTATTTTTGTTGATTTATTCTGTTCAGTCCAATTACGGTGGATGAAATTCTCAGGATAGCTATTTTCCAGTAATGTGCTCCTAACTAATTCAAGTTCATCTTCTAAACGATCTGAACAGATGCGCCATCCTCTCTCTCTCTCTCCCTGCAGGACAAATCGTACGAGGTTGCGTTTTTGGTAGAATGGGACGAAGATGTGAAAATTTCTGTGTACTGTCCACTTTATATTGCTTTTTGGTAGACCTTTTAGACTGGATAGAGTCATTTGGGTGTCTACTCAGATGGGCATCCAAAGTCAAAGTCAAAGTTTTATTACGAGAATAACTTACAAGCTCATGCTTCTCTTTTGTCCCATGGGATATTTGCATAGATGAATCATTACACATCAAAAAAGGAGTCACATAGAGTTCCGGGTAAGAGATAATTGATAATGTAGGCTTCAATGAATTTGTGGTTGTTTTCAGTTGTATAGGAATGTGACGGATGTACCAAGGTTTCATCGAGTCTCCGCTTGAAAGATTCAATAGTTGGTGCACAAAAAACGTGAGATGGAAGGGTATTCCAAGTCCTGCAAACTCTGACTTCAAAAGATTGGCGCCGGTATTCCAGTGGACACTTTGGAATCAGTAGTTTGAAACGGTTTCCCTTAGGTGTACATTGTTCTACAATATGAGCAGCTGCTGACACGGATAGTTTAGATTGTGCAGTATTTGATACGTCTAAATCAAGTCTCCCCGACTTCGGCGGTACTGAGCAGAATATAGTCCGAATGACCATAATCTCTCCTCATTTGTCAGATAATGCAATCCCTTGACCATCTTAGTGGTCATCCTTTGTGGACGCTTAATCATCTTGCGATCACGTTGAAGCCATGAACTCCAAGCTTGGATGGCGTACTCTGTGTAGGGTCGAATATAAACTGATAGCAAATGTGGGAACAGTGCTGATTCAAACCGGCCAAAGACTCGCCGAATTAAGTCGACATTCTTCACAGCAGTAGACGAAGCCTTAGCACAATTGATGGAGCAGCTTAAATCCTCTTGAACAACAGTATCGAAGTCCTGTTCACTTGAAATGTGTGGTAGCTGCTGACTTCCGAGGAAATAAGAAAATCATCTCCTGTGGCGTAGGGATAGGACTTTGCATTTAGAAACATTACATTCAATGCCATTCTGCTTAAACCATTGATAATCTGCGTTGAGTGATTCCTGAACTATTAGAGAGCCCTTGAGTTCCGGTACTGTGTCCCAGATTTGGGCGTCGTCCACGAACGGGAGGGGGTGCGTGGGAGGGGAGGAATCATATCCTCGTGATTCACTTGTGAACTTAATTGACGTATATGCGACGGTGAACTCTGACTTAACACGATTAAGATTGCTGTTCTTGTCAGACACGCAAAAGATGGCATCTGTATAACGGTAATACTGCTCTAAACAACTAAAATTTGTGAATCCAACTTCACGAATCATGATGAAGTCAATCCTGGTAATCTGTGATGTTGTGAACAATCATTCTTTTACCCAGACAAATTTTTTAATACTAAGTGATACATACTTTTTGATGTATTGACATGATTGCAAATAACTGAAAAGGAGCTTGTTTCTCAATCTGTCGTTTCTTTGATATTATCCAAGTGTTTTCAACACAAGCTTGGAACTTTTCTGTTTTTGTTTATCTGTGAATAGACGTGAAGTTTGCTATATGACAGACTTAGACACGTCATACCAATACAGATTATCATATTGTTTCAAAGCACGAGGAGGATTTCTCACCTAATCCAAAGGAATCACACTATATACTATGCACCCTTCGATAGTTGTACAGATCCCATTTAAAAATCCAAAGAGTGTTTGATTTTTTG